TGATGAGGTCTATTATTTTGGTAGTCAAATTCATTGGGTAGACTGCAAGCAGCCCCTCTTGCTCAAAGATCTGCGTTGGAAGAACACAAATCCAAACAAACGCTCATCTTTTGACAACTGTGCTACTCATGGCTTAGGGCTTTGCCACTGGTCTCTGTTCATGCATTCTTCCCTGGGGATTTTTTTAGCAAAAGAGAGACTGCTAACAATCTATTCATTTGGAAGATTAGTTATATATCATATTTAATTACTGTAATAACATTCCCTGAACTTACTTTTCTAGTTGATGGGATGATTTGTTTGGTTTGTGTTTATTGTGTCCTTGCTGGATTACACCTTGGTCACGAAGTACTGCAATTTCCACATCACTTGTCAGGTTATCCAAAACTTTAAAAATAGAAATTCATCATAAGGCGAGAACTCTAAATCTGGCCTATCACAAGTAACTGTTAACTTTATTATCACAAGTAACTGTTAACTATCAACTTTATTGCCAATTATCAAAATATGGCTATATCAATGATAATATCATTGTTACAAGGGATTTTTCAGTGTCTCACTTTTGTCAAGCTGAAAGAAAATTCTGTCATCTTACAGACTGTAAAGTATCTCTGTTTCTTGTATTAGAGTTAAGAATATTGCTGCTCATTCGCAGTCAATTATTCAAATACCTGATTTTGTTGCTTTCTTCTTTATGTCTTTAAGTCTCTTCTCTGTTGAAAGCTTGCAGCATTTGATTCTACGTTCTCTCAATTGCTGAAATTTCTGTTATAGTACAAAAATATCGTGCAGAAGTCAAAACAATGGCCAAGAAAACAACTTTGAAAATATTTAAGAACCGGTCAAGAGCCTATTAGCACCACCATTAAGAGAAGACGCTGGAAATGGATTGGTCATAAACTAAGGCGGGGTAAGAGGAACATAGCGTGCCACGTGATAGACTGGGATCCACCAGGCACAAGGAAACATGGCAGACCGAGAATCACGTGGTGCAGAAGCATCCTGAAAGACCTGACGGATGCCAACTTGAGTTGGTGCAAGGCCAAAAGTGCGCCTCAAGACCAACAGAGGTGGAAGGAGACTGAGGACGCCCTATGCCCCCCATGGGACAAAGAGGACAAGATGACGATGATAATGATGATGACCTTTGGCTAAGTTGAGTGGCATGCATTAGATGAAAAATTAATGTCACACAGACGTAAAAATCTACCGGCCTATTCTGTACTAAGCCCAAGGGGATAAACAAGGAGAATTTCAATCACGCTGAAGTTTCAGTCTGGTTAGGATGGTTGAGATTTCAGCCCAGCTTCTGAAACAAGTCCTCCTCAAATGAAGTTGGCGACTACATGGACAAAGATTCAGTCAAAACTGAAATTCAGCCCAGGTTCTAAATTCCAGCGAAGTTTCTCAGCCCATGTGAGCCAAATGCAATTTAATCCCACACTGGAATAACAACAACAATTTTTATTCACACAAACAGCTGGATTAATAATGTAAAAGAATACAAATCAACAATAGACAAGAGAAAAGATTATACACAATCCACAGTCATGCACAGGGGTTCTGAGTTGGCTGCTATTAAGGAGAAAAGGTTTCAGCCCAGATCAAAATTCATATTTAAAGTAACTGGACAGAGTGGAGGGAGTAATGGGGTCGGTAATCACGAGAAATAGAAAATGGACCTTTTCAGCATTACAGCAGCAATTTTGAATTCTATTGTAAGTTTCAAATAGCTATTATGGGATGCTCAAGGGGCAAATTGGTATATATTTGTCCCCTAAGCATCCCATAATAGCTATTTAAAACAACAGAATTCAAAATGGCCCAAAATTGGATTAGCACATAGGGCAGTTTTCAATTGAGTCTCATGAAACCAAAACCAATTTAAAAGTGATCAAATAAAATAAAAAGCTTTTTGCCAAGTTAAAAAAAAAATCTGTCTAGGAGCTTCAGAGCCACTATACATTTTCCATAAATTTTAAGTGTTTGAAGACAGAATTGCTCTGATCATGCTTATCTCAATTCTATAATACAAAAAATGGGGGTCACCAAGCTCGTTTTTGAGTTATAAGCACTTGAAGATAAAAATAAGAGTGTTTCTAATAGATATACTAGGTTGTACCGTTGCTAGGGTAACCTGTTATATATAATTAAAATATATATATATATAACTTGTTCACTAATGATTGGGCATTTGTGTGATACCTTTATTCTGGGACCATATCATAAAGAGTGGTAGTATTGAAATATCAAAGTATAAGTGATGGAAATAGTATATGCGGTGATTGTGTTTTCAATGAAACGGTGCCAATATTAATGTTTAACGCCCAAGACTATATTTCAGCCGGGGTTGAAATTCGACATGTAATTGCAACAAAATTCCTGTCCCTTCACCAGGATGAAATTTAAACCAAAGCTGAAATTTGCCGTGATAGCTTGATGACCGGCCTCATCAAGTGATAAGGCCGGTTCATGTAGAGCTTGCTTACCTGCCATTTTTCATCCGATATTCCACGTGGAGGACCTTCTTTCTCTTTTCCACCGTCACATTCAATGCCAGAAGTACCTTGTTGTGGAGGAGGAACGGTTGAATACATTTACAACGCAAATCAAATCACTTCGTTTCGCCCTCCACAGGGTATGCTTCCCCCGACGCTTCCTCCATGTTGCGCGCCATGTTTAAAATCCGCTGAACGACGACCGTGCTGACTGACTGCTCAGTCTTGGTCGTCACGCATGAAACTCTACGATGACTCTCTGCATGGAGTAGGAGGGTTACCGGCGATTGGGACTAATGCCATGGACAGAAAATGGTGCAAAAGCAATCTATACATGGAGATTAGTTCAGAAAAAAAAGATATGCCCTTACTTTAAAACAAATTACTGCAGATCACCGTCAGCATTTCGCTCAGAAAGTTGTAAAGAGAGAATGTTCTTATTAGTATTGAGCAAGGTACCAGCGTAAAAGTGCTTTTCTAAACATTTTTTAGATGGTTTGTCTGTAATGGATTGCGGAATATTATTCCAAAAGAAACTTCCAATAACGCTGGGGCAAAATCTCCCAAGATTAGTTCGAAATGAAGGTATTGCAGCTTGGTTGGATGATGCACTACGGGTACTGTAATTACGTAGTTCAGATACTAAGGAAACAGGTAAATTAGGAAACTTATCATGGTGGAAATAATCATAAAAAAGCATACACGTGTTCAGTTTAACAATATCAGGAAATTTCAGAAAGCCCAAGGATGAGTAGTGTGGAGTTATTGATTCCATTAGAGGAACATCATTTATAACACGAACCGCTTTGTTTTGTAATTTTACGATTTGAGACAATGGAACGTTATAATTATTTCCCCAAAGTGTACAAGCATAGGTAAGGTAAGGATAAATAAGAGAATAATACACACTAATAAGTGTTGCATTTGATACATAATGTTTCAACTTAACCATTATATTTATATTTTTGCTAATTTTGCCACATATGTAGTCAATATGGTCATGCCAAGTAAGGTGACAATC